CCCGTCCCCAGAGATGTCACTGCCGCTGCCGCCCCCGCTGCTGCTGCTGCTGCTGCCACTGCTGACCGCGGGGCCCGCCGGCGCCGCACTGATCCGGTACTGGGGACCCCCACCCCCAAACCTGGGACGGACTCTCCCCTCCCTCCCCTTCAAGCGACTCTCCACCCTGGCGCCCCAACTCCTGACTGCTTCCAGGGGCTCCACCCTGCCGTGTCCTAAGACCCCACTGATTTTTTTTTTATTTTTAGAGAGACTGGAAGGGAGGGAGGGGAGGGGAGAGAGAGAGAGAGAGAAACATCGATGTGAGAGAGACACATCCATTGGTTGCCTCCTGCAGGCGCCCTGACTGGGGCTGGGATGAACCTGCAGAACCCAGGTAGGTGCCCTTGACCGGGAATGGAACCCCCGACCCTGCAATTCGCAGGCCACGCCCTAACCACTGAGCAGCACTCACCAGGGCAGACTCCAGCCCTTTTATTTTATTTTTTAAAATATATTTTATTGATTTTTTACAGAGAGGAAGGGAGAGGGAGAGAGAGTTAGAAACATCGATGAGAGAGAAACATCGATCGGCTGCCTCCTGCACACCTCCTACTGGGGATGTGCCCGCAACCAAGGTACATGCCCTTGACCGGAATCGAACCTGGGACCCTTGAGTCCGCAGGCCGGCGCTCTATCCGCTGAGCCAAACCGGCCAGGGCAGACCCCAGCCCTTTTAGTCCAAGATCCTCCAGCCCCGAAACCCTTGACTGGGGACCCTCCCCTCTTCTCCCTTCATGGTCTGGGGAGCTCTGATGAGCTGGTACTGGGGTCTCCAGGTGGTGAAACACCTCCCCGCAGGGACAGGGACCCAGGTCCGGGACATGTAGACGGACACTCCCTCTGATTCGCATCTTCCAAACTGTTCGGGTCTCAGTAAGCCCAGTTTTGGGGGACCCCGATGATCCCCCCATCCGGCCAGTGCCACCCCAATCTCTCCCTTCCTCTCCCCACCCCCGGAAACTCCGGATGGGGAGGGGTGCACTGCTCCAGGAGCCCTTTCCCCACTTCACATTCC